CTTAATGACAGACAGAATGTATTTATCAGTAACGAATCATGTCAGAGTCCCTTAATTTATTCCTTGAAATAGCAGAGACACTGTGGATGGGGAAGAAACTGTAGATGTGATATAACTTTCACACTATGTGAAATTACTTTTGAAATAAATAAGGAGATATGGATGAAGATAAAATGATATGAGACTGTTAATGATTCATTGTCAAACCATAAAGATGTATTGGTTGGGGGCTAGACACATCTTAGTGTGCCTGGAGTGATAGTGGTGTTGTGAGTCATTCAGAAGAGAGAGTGGAGAGTATGCTTGATAATTTCACATTCAGCATCAACTGGGAGGATCTGAAAGCATTTTGGAGAACAGAATTAGAATTTAAAAATTTTTTGATGGACTGGAGAAATGGCCTGAATTAATCAGGAATGTTTATGAGTAATCCCTCTGGAGTATTCAGTTTGTGTGAGATTTTGACTAGATGGGGAGAGTTCAGAATAGGTCACGGGAATGACCAGAGACCTGGAAAGCATGGTATATGAAGAAGGGTTGGACACTCTGGGTAGTCAGTCAGGGGGAGGTATAGGAGCCTTGGAATATGTAAAAGGTTGCTGCAGAAGGTAACTTGTTCTCCATTTCCATTGGAAATAAGACAGAGTAATGAGCTTAAAAGACAGGTAGGCAGATTAAGAACAAACACTAGAAAAATATTGCTTGCATATATTGCCTTGAAATGCTGAGGATTCTCCATCATTAGAGTTAGGTACAAAGAGGGCAGAACAAAATCTGTCAGGATTTAGATATGTTTGATATTATTTTGGATTAGGGGAATGGATCAGATGGCCTTGTAAGATTTCTTTTGACTGAATTTTTCAATAGTTAATTGTTTAGTGAAAGAAAGTCTTGTGGAAGAATTTTTTCATAGATCCTAATTCCATTTCATTCTTGAAAGCAGTGCAGAGGACCTAATGAAAATCTACATGAAAGTCATACTTGTCTTTTACCACTAAGCCTGGTATTTCTATCACTTCAAATGTAAAGGAGAAAAAAATCATAAAACATTGCTGTTTGTTGTGCATCTATTTTAAACTTACTTAAATATGGCACTTTTCATATAGTCTTGGAGAAGCCCATGGGCTGGGACTACAGGAACCCTAAAGTGTGTTCTTGGAGTGTTATGTTTGAGCTCAGAAGCTCTAGCATAGCTCTTTTGGATATAAAGATTTACTCCAGATACTAGACACATGAGACAATTAAACTTTTGTGGTCTGTTCAGAGTCTTAGAACCCCAAGGGTTTAAAAATAATATTTCAGTACACTAGTAGTTTCATCCAAATAGCACCAAGAGCTGTTATAAAGTCATGTGGATGCAGGTAGGATTTGTACATTGTCTTGGAAACCTGGTGAGGGATCTGGTCCAAAAATCACCACTCAAAAGGTGTGAATTATTGTTACCATGGTATGAATGTCTTAAGTTTGCAGATATCACTAATAAACTTACTGAAGTAATGTAGATATTTCAGATATCTACACATAGATATTGATTGGACTCTATGACCTCGGAGGTCTTTTCCAACCTAATTGATTCTGTGATTCAGTGACTGTACCTTAATGTTAAAATATGCTCTGATGTGTGTAAAGTCTGTTCTGGTAACTTGGCCTTTTTTAAAATTCAGCTCTTCAGTATAGGTACTGGTAACTGCAGTCTATTTGTACTGTGCAACAGAATCATAAAATCCTCGCAGTAACAGGCAGCGGGAGAAATCTAGTTCACCTTCTGTTTGAAGCAGGATTATTGCCAAAATGAGCTCAGCTCAACCACTGCTCTGTTTAGCCAAGTCTTGAAAACCAGGATAGATTGGAATTTCACAGTTTCTCTGTTCCACAGCTGCTTCACCTTCCTAGTAAAAAAATATTTCCTTTTCATCTTCTATGAATCTCCAAAGCTGCAACTCTGGGCCATTTCCCCTGGGTTTTACCATGCAGCACTTCTGGAAAAGTTTTTTTCTGTCATGTTTTAACTCCTGTTCAAGTAGTTGAAGGTTTTTATTGAATTGTCCATTAGCTTCTTCTTCACAAGAATAAGCAAGTCCAGTTCCCTCAACCCCTACTTGTGTGTCAGTGCCGGAGTGCCCTAGAAAATTTGAAAGCCATTTGTGTGATCCTTTCCAGTTTTTGAATATCCTCTTAAACTGAGGCACCTCAAAACTGCACACTGTGTTCCAGTATAAATGGTTTCAGTCAACAAACACTGTTTCAATTTTGCTTTTTATGGCAGTACAGGTAATAATTAAAAGCACTAGTTTAAAATCTACACCAAGTTTCTGAACAAAACTGTTCCGGTATATGCAAACCAAAGGGGAAAAAAGAAAACTGCAGAGAAGTGAAAGAGCCTTCTGAAAGTGTTTAGTAAAAAAAATCTTTACTTGGTTTGCCTGAAATCCTGAAAGATATTGCAACTTCAGCAGGCCACTGAAGTATAAATCTGGCAGAAGAGCTAATTTTGAACTTGAAACTCGATGTGTAAAGGTAATTAGCAGCTGCAACCTTGTTTTTTAAGTCTGAGAAGCTCCGTAAAGCCAAATATTCTTGTGAATTGTGAGTTCATGTGGCTCTGTCCATTGAAAGATCCTTCTTCCCTTTTCTTCAGAATGTGTCTTCTGTAAGAAGAAATTGTGTGTTATAGCTCCAAGAGGAACTGAGTAGAATCTGCTGCCTGCTGTGTTTCTGGAGCACAGGATGGGTCTGGCTAAAATAAGTCTCCACTGCTCCACCTCTCTCCTTTTTTCTGAGTGATTTATAGTCCCTGGTGTAATGTAAACTCCTGGCCCAGCAGCCCCTCTGAAAGTCCCACACTCAGAAGCTCACACCAGCCCAAGTCTTTAATCCTAACATTTTTAGCTCATGTTCTCTCATTCTCTGGCAATTCTGGGTATGCTCTGGTCTCTACACAAATGCTATCCATTGTCTCCATCCTTCTTCATCTAGAAATTATGATCTTAGGTCCCCTTCATTCTGGTTATTTCTAATTAAATAAATGAAAGGAGACAAGTGGCAGCCCTTGCCTATCTGAAAGAAAAACTTTTATAAACAGCATCAAGGGGGTTACACTATAAGTGTTCATATAAAGCATTCTAAAGACACAACTTAGGCTATACTGGTTTTCAATGTAATATATCAAGATGTGACCACCAAGGAACAAAAGGCATAGCCAGAATCTTACTTTTAACTAAGTATAATACATTGTATAAATAATTATAAAATTTCATACAGGCGTAAGTGTCTTGTAGGTTGTTACCTTGATTTAGAAGTATGTGTCTCCTTAATGATGATTATAGCATCACTGTAAGCTGTAATTCAGAGCTGCAGGTCTCAGCAAAAAAATCTGGTATGTGGGATAATATAGATTTGGATCCATCAAATGGCATGATATTTCCACCTTTTGGACATTTTTGAGTTACATATTTTATAGATCAGACACTGTTTACAACTACATAAAATATCACTGTACACATTTGAGAAATAATGAACATCATTGCTCACAGAAGATCATAAGGCAGAATGTCATCTTCAGAAAAAATGCTTGTGTATGTTTTGTGTGAAAAAGAGTGAGAAATGTGGATATGAAGAGAGGAGAGCTTTCTGTGTTTGCTATAAGCAGGTGCTGAGAAAGAAAACACTTTTTGCAGCAAGCAGCTTTCTCAAAATGAGTTAAAACCACAGTCTTTAAAAATGCTTGTTAGTATCTGCCTGCACATTCTGGTTAGTAGATCATGGAATGATATTTGCTTAATATGCCCAGAGAAGGTTCTGAAAAATAAGTCATGTAACAGGCAAAATCCAAGGCCATGACCTCAAAGCCTAGTTTATTCTGCCAGCCCTGTTGAAAACATTTCCATATGGTTACGCTGAAAACTTTACCATAAAACAGAATTCTTTGATCTCTATTAATTTATGCAATCAAGTGCGTAAAGGATGCTGGAGTTTTTTTGAGATTTAAAAAGATATATAGTCAGTACTGAAAATTGAACTTAAAGACAAACTAGTAACCTGGCTGGCATTCCTAGCTACTGTCATGAGAAATTGGGTTCAGAGGACAGTTTTAGGACATACCAGTTTTTCTGAACTTCTCTCATTCTCTTTTCTGTGAACTAGGATTTAGAACTTGGCTTTTGACCAGTGTTCAGAAGAGCAGTCATTGTAATTCTTTGTCATTGACAGGGATTGATGGCTAATCGTGGATGGTTCTGTGCTGGAAAGTTGCATGACTTGTAAGACCATATAGAAATGCACTCCTTTTTTCCACTTGGCAATCAAGATTTAGTAAAATAGCAATTTCTTCAGGAGCTTGAGTCTATCAGGCAATAATTAGACTGAGGAAGTGGATATATGAAAATATCTCCTGGTGAACTGTTCTAACTTACACTCATATACTTTTAATTTGCTGCAGAAGGACAGGTTTGACATCATCACCCATGATTTGTTCTGTTTCACAAAGCAGACAGTTTGGATTTATAGATACTCTCAAGTATTATTAACAAGACCTCATGGCTAGGCTTCATGAACGAAGATTTGGGAAGGGCTTTAACAAGACCTAGACTGTTCTTTACTGTTAAATTTTAATGGATTTCCAAAGATGGAAATGTAAGAAAATAATTTTTCTTTCACCACTTTTACATATGAAGATCTATTTTTTTATATTTTTGGAGGCAAGAAGCTGTTAAAACAGTATGAATGTGTGCACTACAGTAAATGCCACCAGAAGGCTCCTATTGTTCCTGATTCTAGTTTGGGTTCTTGTCAGAAAATACAAAGTGGCAGTCATACATTGGCTGGCCTGGCTTTTCAGGGTGATTTCATTCTTCTGACTATGTATCTGCCACACATGGCTTTGCCATAACATTCAGCTGTGTATCTTTGTAGTAAACAGAGGGCATTAGGGCCTCTTCACCTTCTTAGCTGTAACATAGAAACCTACTGGAAGTTCTATCAGTGTCTTTCATTTCTTTCAGAGGACCATCCAAAACAGAAATTATAGTAGAGAATGAGGAAATGCAACACCAAAGATGGCTGAATCTGCACTCAGACTGGAAGAATAAAAATGCATCCACTTTACATGCTCTTCTAGTGAATGGGTAAGTAACAGGTAAATAAGATCTATTTCACTGCTGTGGGTAGTCTCTTACTAATGGAGGATAACAAACTCCCTCTTACTCCCAAAGTAAGCTCTTTTTTCCCAAGGTATCTGTGTATAAATCCCAGCACGTACTCATGTGAGTTGTTAAGATACACTCTGCAATGATTTTAGTGTCTACAACAACTGTAGTCTGAGTCTAACTTCAAATCCTGAGGAGGCCATTCTGCTAAAATAACAGCACTTGCGTAATACAGAGGTGATGCCCCTGAAGCACCTGGACCAGACAGCTTCATTAAAACTCTGCTGAGCAAGATAGTCCAGCAAGTACTATATAGCAAAATCTGCAGCAACATCTTACCATCCTCTTCAGCCCATGTAGTCTGGATTCATACATTTAGAGCAAACGCAGCTTCTTCAGCAGAATCTATATCCACTTACAGTAGGTTTCCTTAGCAGCTCCTCTGGCTGATGGTATATTCCTTTCAATTAACCTGACTAAACAGGTAGTTGCTAATGAGAAGCCAGGATCTCATGGTTCAGACATTCGAAGTGTGACTTTGAGAATGAAGAGCCAATGAACTCAGAAATCCCTGGAAAAACTGGGAGAGCCACCTAATCCCCATCTGCAACTGCATTGTTCAAAAAGGAGATGTATAGTTTTTGTTCTCTCTTTCAAATGTCTAGGAGATTTCAGAACATCCTTCTTCCATAGAAAATCCTTCTATTTCACAAGGAAAGACTGTCTTGGGTAACTGCAGAGATACGATATGTGTGAAGACATAAATCTGAGGAATAAATCTACTTTTCTTTTGCTTGGCTGCATTATTTTTTGTACTCAAAAGTTTTCCCTAATGGCAGAATACTAAAAAGAAGCTAGCAAGAAGCAGCTTTTGTTTTCATACATCTCAACTTTGTGCATTTTTTGGTTTACATTGGTATTTTCCCCATTCAAGTTAATTTTTATTTCTTCATCTAGAAAGACCATTATGAGATGGTGCCTGACACTTGAAGGTTGTCTTTTTAACTCTTTTCCTTTCTCACTGTGTTTTTCCTCTAGCCTAACAATATCTAAATGCTTTTCTCCAGGGTAATACAAGAATAAACACCTTGGGTTGTGACCAGGTGCAAAGGCAGATCCACAGTCATGTTCTGTTCGGTCACTAAAGTGCAAAGCAGAAATTTCAAGATACTTTTTGACATGTTTGAAAGAGGTCTGCTAGGAAACGTGTGAAGGAATGGACTTGGAGCCTCTGAGTTACAAGATCTAGTAGCAAAAGATCTAGTGTTGCCCAGAGTACAAGTTCAAGGAGAGAAAACATCAGTAATGAGAATTATTGATAAATCTATTGCATAAATGAAAGTAATATGTAGGAACAGATGTTTGAGTGCCCCTGAATCCAGAAAATGGGTAACAAGAAGGGTTGCACTTCAAGGGTTGCACTTGATGATCTCTGCGGTCTTTTTCAACCTGGTTGATTCTATGATTCTATTCTATGATTCTAAGAAGTGAGAAGCTAAAGCCTTGCATGAAGGGTGAGGTTTTTTTTGTTTTGGCTGCATCAGGCATCCAGTCCAGATGACTGGGAAGTGCTCCTGAGCCCTGCAGTCTAGGTGTATTCATCTGGATCAATTGCACCACGTAAATGATTTGTGCTGTGGAGTATGTTGGATGTTTAAAGGGCTGTTGGGCTCCTGAACAAATGAGAACTTGGGCAAGAACTGAAAAATACACCACTGATTCATAAAGTTTTGACAGTACAGGCTATGCACACATAAAAACTTAACATTTTCTCTTTAGAGCTGCCATTTAGAGCAGGCTGTCTGGTAAGTCAAAGAAACAAGTGTAAAACATGACCATGGCTGGTCTCAGTTATATTCTGTGAATTTTTTTAGGGAGTGAAAATGTCTCTCAAAATTGTGCACATGATTTTCTGTCCTGAAATTGATTGTCCATCTCTACTGTCTCTGGAAAATAATTTTATGGCTCTTGTTTTCAGGAACAGAAATAAACTGATTTGCGCAGTATGTGAATGAGGTACATGCAGTGTAGGGAACAAAGGTCTGGTCAAATACCAGATTCAAGGCAAGCTGGTGGGGTGGCTGGCACTCTGTTGTTTTGCCCGTATTAGTATCTATGACTTAAAATCAGATGCATCCTCTTTTTAGGTGATTGCAGTTTTAAAGATACTACCTACTGACTGAGATTAAAGCCTTCAAAGAATTGCATGTGGAACAGGTAGCTCTGCTTATGCCAGAAAAGCATGTACACAGTAGGAATGAAAAAGTAGTGGAAATAAAAAGGCAGTCAGCTAGTTCACAGAATCACAGAACATGCAGAGTTGGAAGGGACCCACAAGGATCATTAAGTCCAACTCTTTGCCCTGCACAGGACCATCCCCAAGAGTCACACTGCATGCCCCAGAGTATCATCCAAATACTTCTTGAAATCTGGCAGGTTTGGTGCTGTGACCACTTCCCTGGGGAGCCTGTTCCAGTGTCCAGTCACTCCCTGGGTGAAGAACCTTTTTCTGATCTCCAACCTAAATCTCCCCTGATACAGGTTCAGGTTATTCCCTCTGGTCCTGTCATTGGTCACCACAGAGAAGAGATCAGTATTTGTCCCTCCTCTTCCCCTCATGAGGAAGTTGTAGACTGCAATGGTCTCCTCTTCTCCAGGCCGACCAGACAGTGACCTCAGCCACTCCTCATACGGCTTCCCCTCAAGGCCCTTCACCATTTTCACTGCCCTTTTTTGGAGGCTCTCTAAGAGCTTAATATCTTTCTTATGTTGTGGTGCCCAAAACTGCACACAATATTCAAGGTGAGGCTACCCCAGTGCAGAGCAGAGCAGGACAATCCCCTCCCTCGACCAGCTGGTGATGCTTTTGCCTGATGTCCCCCAGGACACAGTTGGCCCTCCTGGCTGCCAGGGCACTGCTGACTCATATTCAACTTGCCATCAACCAGGATACCCAGGTCCCTTTCTGCAGCACTGCTTTCCAGCATCTCATTCCCCAGTCTGTATGTACATCCAGGTTGCCCCATTCCAGGTGCAAAATCTGGCACTTCCTCTTGTTGAACTTCATATGATTGGTGATTGCCCAGTGCTCCAATTTGTCGAGGTCTCTCTGCAGGGCCTCCCTGCCTTTGAGGGAGTCAACAGCTCCTCCCAGTTTTGTGTCCTCTGCAAACTTTTTCAGTATCCCTTGCAGTCCTGTGTCCAAGTAATTTATGAAGATGGTGAGGAAAACTGGGCCTAAGATAGAGCCCTCTGGAACCCCACTAGTGACAGGTCACCAGTCTGATGTCACCCCATTCACTGTTACCCTCTGTGCTCGACCCATGAGCCAATTGCTCACCCACCACATGATGTGTTTATCCAGCTGTGTGCTGGACAGTTTGTCCAGAAGGATCCCATGAGAGACAGTATGGAAAGCTTTACTGAAATCCAAAAAGATTACCTCAACTGGCTTCCCTTGATCCAACAGGTGGGTTACCTTGTCATAAAAAGAAATCAGGTTTGATAAGCAGGACTTTCCTCTCATGAAGCCATTCTGGCTGTGACTGATGACTGTGTTGTCTTTCAGGTGTTTTTCAATACATCCCAGAATAATGTTCTTTTTGTGCAACAGTGCTCACTGATTTAACCAGGATTTCCCCTCCTTTGACAAAAAAGTCACCTCTTCCATCTCTCATATGAAAGTTTTCAACAAATGATAAGTTTTTGTTGTTTTAATAATTATCTATGCAAACTTCCTGGATTTTTTTGTAACACCCAAACTTTTAGGGCATCTGTTATTAAAGGCATTCTGTCCTTTGACTGTAAGGAAGAGGAGACTGGCAATCTCTGTGCTTTCAGGGGCCATAAATTAAGACTTGACAGACTGTACATCCCAGCTGACCTCAGAGTTGGATCCATGCCCAGGGAGCGAGGTAGTCTGCAAAATATGTAGCACCCCCTCATGAAATGCATTGTAAAGCTGAACTAATATTTTGAATTTTCACCAGGCAGATACTGGAAACCATGAATGATCTGGCATAAGAAACTCCTGGAGTTTCTTTTTACAGTTGGGGGAATTTTTAACAGCTGGATTACACTGAGTACAATACCTGTGCTGATTTTCAAATTACTAAAATTAATCAATTGAGATTTCTTCCATGTTTTTGTTTCCATATTTAGAGAGATGTGTCAAAGCAGAAGCAAAGTGGCTCTCTTTTGCACTAAAGAAGGTAAGAGAGGAGTGCATATAAAATAGATGTTCTTTTAAAATGTGTTAAATCATTTTGGCAAATGCGGATGTTTAGTGTGGCTTCATTCTGAAATTTTTATTAGACCTCTGCAACATCCAGTTTTGCACTGGGTTTATTTTTCCCTACTCTTCTCAGTTTCATCAGATTTTCTTATATTTTGACTATTGAATCTGTGTATTGAGGTAGCCCAGTCCTGATACCACAAAACGAATTTTGTCAGCAGTCAGGTTCCAAAAATTAAGTTGATAACACTTCCTTCTGAAAGTGTCCTTTACCACCAGAGTGGTTAGCAGGCTATGTGCCTGGGAGTTGAAGCTCTGATCTGTTTAGTTGTTAAGCACAAGGGGACAGAAGAACCTGAAGTAGAAAGTTACAGACCAAGTCTGTTGGCACAGCAGATTTTGCAGGTTTAAGCGGTTTGAAAATGCGGAAATTCATCTGTGAAGTTCATCTGTGATGAAATCATGTTCTACAGACAAGGAGAACTTTGCTGAAGAATACTTAAACTATGAATTAGCTTGACTCAGGGAAAAGTAATTTCAAAGCATGATCTAACTTTGGGAAACTAATCAAAACATCTGCTATTTATCAAAAAAAGGAAAAAGCGCATAGGAGCCTGTCAAAGGTGTTTGCCTCTCACGTGTTACTTAAAGTACACTTAAAATTCCTTGCCCTCCGAAGTTAAGTGAACACACTAGGAATTACACGTTACGAAATAACCATTGCTCCAATTTATTTCTTCACCACTAAGTTACCAGATACATGCAATGGCAGCATATTCTCCCTTGGGATGCTGATTGCAGAAACTGGTGGTGTTCTTTTGTTCTCTAAATCACGGTGAGTATCAACAGGATAAATAACGAGTCTGGCATCTTTCAAATCTGGAATATAAAGTGAAACAAAAGTGAACGATTCTTTCAGAAAAATAACTGTCAAGTAGGAATCTGGTATAATTTCCATTGGAAGTGGCTTGTAGAGTGGAATGGACAGATTACTGGAATGTTTTCAGATCTTCAAATATTTTTCCTTAGTAAATTCCACAGGCAAAGCAAATTCGCTGCTGTGTAGCTGAGGAAACAGTGTGACATTAACCTCACACCTGGCTTAAGAAAAGCGTTGTTACTGCTGAGCAGATTTTCCAGGAGTGGTTCTCATGGAAAGTAGGCTAACATGTTGCTAGCTGACAGGAGGACAAAGACATGAAGCCAGGAAACCTCCCCAAGAGCAGTCCAGTAGCTCCTGAGAGAGAGGAAGTCAGGATGCCAAATTTAGCTTGGTTAATATTTCAGGCTGAGCCAGTCAAAATTAATATCAGGAGAGCAAATCCTTCGATACAAAGGAAGAATAAAAATGGCTCAGTATGTTTAATACTGTTGTGCAGTTGCTGATGACCTCATTTACTGTATTGTACAGTAAATTAGTTTAATTTCAGTCAATTAAACAGTCTAATTTCACAGCTCTGTTAAGACCATTCTGTGCCGTTCTCTTGCAGCCGGTCTTGTAAGTGCTGCCCCTGAGGTAATGATTAACGCTTTCCTGTTCCTCTCCAGACTGTGGCCGCCGCCCCGCTGCTCGCATGAACAAGAGGATCCTCGGGGGCAGGACCAGCCGCCCAGGCCGGTGGCCATGGCAGTGCTCCCTGCAGAGTGAGCCCAGTGGACACATATGTGGCTGTGTTCTGATTGCAAAGAGATGGGTCCTGACAGTAGCACACTGCTTTGAAGGGTGAGAGAGCTCAAGACGGTTTTAATGCTCATATGAACTTGCACATGTGAATTACCAAGTCCTTCCTCCACTACCAAACACACTGGGGGTAGGTGATGATCTTTGCAGAATGGCCAGTCATAGAGGCCTGCTTTTAAGAGGCTAAAAAGGAAAGTAAAACGTACAAACCAGCATTAGCTTAGGTTTTCAGATGTTTTATTATTCATTGCTGGTGTCTCTACTGATGAAAGCTAAATGAAGATGCCCTGACTCTCAAAATCATTCTGTGCATGACTGTACAAAAGACCCTGGAAAAATGCTATGGCCATTGGTAAAAATGAAAACTGAGTATTTGCTTACAGTGCAAATGACATACTGAAGTCACTGCCTTTCCTATTTATACAGTTCACCCTTTTATTAGGATCGCAATCATTAAGAAGTCAGTATTAACCACTACCTGATGCCTCCTGGTATCTGAGGCCCTGTGGTGTATGAACAGTCAGGCATGCGAGGGATGTTTACATGTCTTGGAATTGTTTTGATCATGTCAGCTTTTTGGTGCTAACCGATATTTCTTTTTGATGAACCACATATTTTGGAGGGAATCTTATTACCTTGTATCTTTTGTCTTGCGCTAAAGTTTTTAAATTGAGTTTCTAAAGAAAATTTAAACAAGTGTTTTCTGCTGTAGTTAACAAGTGCTTTTATGGTTGCTTAATCTTGCTTTAAACTGGTGTTTGCTCATTGGAAATTATTTTAAACTACTCTAAACACCTTTGTGTTCAAGCCCGCCGAAATTCTATGTTAAGCAAAATTCTCTTGACCGATATTTCTTTATAATGTTAGTCATTCCCTTTTTGAGTAATAATTTAAATTTTGTCTTTTTATTTCTGAAAGACTGAGTTATTTGGTATTTGTTGGGGTTTGTGATTTTTGTGTCCAAGCCAGAAGACATCAGGCATATCTCAAGACATTTGTGAGTATCTCAAGGTGTGAGATATAAGAAACCATATTAATGGAAATGCCAGAGGATATGACATTGGATAGACCTCAGTTCTGACTAACATATCATATCAAGCTCTAAGGATGTTCAAGAACTGATTGGATTCAAAAAGAAGAAAAGTAATAACCAGAAACTTGAACATATATAAGCTTCCTTCTAAACAGTGTGCTAAGCATGTATAATACAAACAAGAACATTGTATTTTATCAGGTTTTGGGTCCAGAAGGAATTTCTCTTCTTTCTCCATCTATTTTTAAATATACTGCTGGAATATTTCCTAACCTTTGGAGGAACATTTTCTGGTGATCTAAAATAAAGAGTGGGACAGAGGTTGATCCTTCAGCAATACTGGACTGATACTGAATCTCCTGAATAAGAGATTTCTCCCATTAGTGAAAGATAGGAAAAGCAGCTGTCAAATTACAAAGTAAAAATTCTCCCAGTTTTGTCAGTTGTAGAAAGACTGCCATTACATTTGGAGCTGTGCATTTACCCCTCATGTAGGGCTATATAATTTCTATGGAGCTCAGAATGTTACTTGTAACAGGTTTCTTTCACATTTGTGTTCTAAAGACCCTAAAGTACTTACATTCCGTTTTAATAATTCATTGTGCACTTATGAACTTTTTCCTCTGCTGCCTTTCTGAATAGATTTGAGGAGTCTAAAATCTTCAGATTCTTCATTTGTAACAAGCCATTTGTAAGCCTAATGTATCAACAGCAAGATCATTCTTGAAGTCACAAAGTTTTCTTGATAAAAAGTATTTAAAAATTTCCCAAACCAACCAAATAAAACAATTTAAAGAGACTTTAAAGTGCTCTGGTGCCTTATACAAAATGCTCCATTTTGCAAAGTATTTTATGAAGTTAATATGAAGTTTGGAATACAAAACATGAGGACCACATAACAGTAATGTAGTATTAATACAAATAGTCATGGAAAGAGCTGCATTAAACATCATGGTCTTTGCTAGTTTTATTATTATAGTCCCCAGAGTTTTGTCAAGTTTGTTTTGAAATGCATTATATTAAAGCATCCAAGACAGTAAGGCTTTTTCTTAATTGTAGGACAATACATTTTGGCTGTGACTGCTCATTGCTCCAGGCAATGCTTTTCTCAATGGTCATAAAAACAAGAGCCTATGAATATTCTTAGCACTTAATTTCTGTAACTTTATGGAAAAACTCTCAAACTGATCATGATGGTAAAATGATCGTTATAGTCTGAAATATCAGAATTCTCATCCAACTCTTAAGATAAAAATAGCCTTTATTTAGCAACCAAATCTCTTGGCAAATTACAGGAATTACAATCCTGTTGAGTACTGTGAAAAAGCTGAAATTTTGCATGCTTTGATTTACACTGCTTTGAATCCTTTGTCAAAGGTTCTTAGTTACATGGAGCTGTCTTTCAGCAGTTGTGAGAACTGCTGACTTTTTTGAGGGCTTTTTGAATCACAGACTATTAGGAACCCATGAAGACTTATTAGGAACCTGCAACTTGTTCTGTGACCAGTTATGATCAAGAGAAGCCTTTCATAAAATCTATGTTTTTCACTTGTGTCTCAACTGACACTAGTTCAGTCTTCCTAACTTGTATCATATGTATCACTGCTTTGTGGTCTTGTACATTTACCAAAAGAGTCTTAAACAAATGTAAGAGTCAAAGTAACCTTTGATCTTAGGCATAGAAAGTATGCTTGGCACAGACTGACTGCCCAATAAATAAGGGACTTTTCCCATGGCCATCATAAAATATTTAATTTACATAATAGCATTGCTTCTCTGAGACTCCAGAGGGATTTCTGCTGTCAGCAGCAGACTACTGAACAATATTCTCATCCCAGCAAAATTTGAATGTGCCCACCAGTGAGCATGTGTTACGATCTGCTTAAATATTGCAGAAAGAACCTTTAGATTCGAATATTCCCTTGAGCAAAATTAAAACTCATACGAGTTATCTGTTGATACCAAAACTGTTTTTATTAATTGCTAAGACATGCAAAGAGAAAGAGGAAAAAATAAGAAAAGGTTGGAAAATGCTAAGATTACTTTTAGAAGCAGAGAAAAGATTACCACCAAACTACCTTTTCTGTTGAACTGGTCTGTAGTGTGTGAGGGGGGAGAGAGAAAAGCAGTTTTCTGCCTTTTTTTTTCTCTGTCTCTGCCGCTTTTCAGTGTTATCTCTTTAGCAGCAGGGGGTCTTTCACAGCTTCAGTTCTCTGGAATGCAGCCAGGATGTGGGCTCCGCCGCTCACACCGGCCGTGTCCCAGGCTGTGTAGAGGTCTCGGTCCCTCTATACCTCTCAGCCCTCAGAAATATGGTCAGGGTGGCACGGTGGGTCTCAGTCCAGTCTACTTCAAGACGGCAGAGGTCCAGTCTGCTGGTGACGGGCAGGCAGCTTACGGTGGCAGGAGAAAAAAGGTGAGGGCAAGGCGGGGGAGAGACCCTCAGCTGCTATAGCCAATTGTCTTTCCCACTCCTCTTTCCCTACGTTTCCCAAATTTCTCTTCAGCTTTTATAGTGTTTAAAGGAGGTTGTCTCTGGTGTTTTGGCACGTAGCCCTGTTCAGATGTTCGAAGAGATATGATAACCACGAACAATAACAGGATCTTTTGGCAGGAAGACTCCAGTGGGAAATTCTGGTGAGAACTTCTGGTGGAAAACTGACACAGAAGTTTTGGTAGGAAGTTTTTGACAGGCAGAAACAATGGCGAAACATTTTGAGAGCCTTTAATACAGCAACTAAGAGATGGTTACATATCTTCTGACGGAGTGAGCTTTAATGCATTTGGTTACAGACAGGAAGGAAATGGAAAGCAGTGTCTTTTGTTGCTCAGATCTTAGCTGTAAGGAATGATGCCTAAGTATTTCTTTTTTCTTGTAGTATTTGTATGTGCAGTGCTTTGCAAAGTGCAGTGTGCAAAAAGGGAGAAAAAATTCTTGGATATTTTAGCTTAAAAGAAAGATCTTGATTGAAATTTCACATTTTTTCTTTTTTTTTTTTTTTTACTAAGGAGAGAAAATGCAGCTGTTTGGAAAGTAGTGTTTGGGATTAGCAATCTTGATCATCCATCAGGCTTCATGCAGACCCGGCTGGTGAAGACCATCATCCTCCATCCACGGTACAACAGAGCAGTCGTAGACTACGATATCAGCATTGTGGAGCTTGACAAGGATATCAATGAGACAAGCTATGTAAGACCTGTCTGTTTGCCCAGCAAGGACCAGTTGGTTCAGCCAGACACCTACTGCTACATCACAGGCTGGGGACACATGGGCAACAAAAGTAAGATGAGTATTTCTGGGACTCTAGGAAGAACATGTGAACCTTCTACTGAGTTACTCAAACGAGTGATCCTGTTACAAACCTTCATCCATTTATACTATTACTGGGTCTTAGTAAATACCAGGGAACTGGAACTACTCTTGAAGGAATCAAGTTGTGACTAGAACCTAGCTCTTCCAAAGCAGCAGCCTCAATTTATGCTTCTTAATCCTTATTTAGACAAGTGGCTTGATTTTTAAAAATGCTGAGGACCTAGAAACTCCTATCAAGAAAGTCACCTGAATTAGTTATCATTTTACTGGTCTAAGTTGTATTCAGAACTGTATTGCAAAGGTATCACATCATCATTGCAGGTGGAAACATTCTTAGCTCAGTGAAAGCTGAAGGCACTGAAAGCATTGGTACATAGGCTGAAGGAACAGGGTCTTGAATCAGCACACTGGATCACACTTTGTACTTGTGACACAGCTTATTCCATAATCACAGCTGTTGGTTTTGTATTTGAACAGAATGTTAGTGTGTTTTCTTGTTCTTTGGCTACCGCAATCCTTGCGTCCCATGACAAGAACTGTTGTGTTATGTAAATCTTTGTTCAGGAAAAATGATTGTGCATGAATCATATGCAAATTAGCCCGCCCCAACCCTGTGAATGTACTAGCCATTGTGTTTCTCCCTTTGTTATTATTATAGTAATTACTAGGGATGGCTTTTCTGTACAAGGGAGAAGGAAATTTTCCTTTCCATATTGCTTCAGGTGGGACTTCAGCTGCAGTGGCCAGGTCAGATGTGGTAAAAATTAAACTGCACACATGAGGAGAAGGCTTTTTACTAGCAGCTTTACCCATCTAAAAATATCTCTATGTAACATCAGGAAAAAAAGCCCAAAAGAACTCTTTCACAGCACTGGTAAATGGAAAAAGGTTCTTGTTCTCTAATGTGGTCAGTGTTGCTTTTAAAGGTTTTATGTTAGGAAGCATCAAGAACCATTTAATACTGCACACCCTAGATTGAACAACTTTGATTAGAATTTGAGCTCACTCAGCTGTCCAGTCTACAAAGAAGTCCTTTATTGTCTCCTGAAAGTGATACAATAATTTCAATAAGCTTCTAATTCTGATTCCCTGATACATTCTGTAAGTCAAATTTACCCAAACATAACTCAAAACTGCTCTGATTATACCAGGCTTTACCATGAGAAACACAAGAAATAGGAAGATCCTGCCATGGAACAGTGAATCAAACTTCACCTTCCTCATATGACTGTTTTCCAGCCACTACTGCCCCTGACTTAGAAGTCCCACACCATATCATGTCAAGGTGCGAACGTTCAATAAACAGCATCGCACTAGTGCTCAGTCCTTCTCCAGAATGCAATACATAATGCTCCTGGCTCAGGAGCATGACAGTCACAAATCCTGCAATGCAATAGTGAAAAAATCCACCGGCTTTCACCTTGGCTTTGTGCTAAAGGGAGATTCTTCACTCCTTACATTTAATATACATAGAGCAATATTAAAAATTCATCCCAATGAAAATGTTTGTCATATCTCAAACAGCCATCATAGCTAAAGTACTTGTGTGTTTGCATATAGTTTAATGCTTATTTCTGTTTATCAGTGCCTTTCAAGCTTCAAGAAGGAGAGGTTCGCATCATTTCCTTAGAACAATGCCAGTCATACTTTGACATGAAAATCATCACCAGCAGGATGCTGTGTGCTGGCTATGAATCTGGCACTGTGGACTCTTGCATGGTAGGCTTCTCTCTATGGAAACAGTCAAAATTGCTTTTAGAAATCAAAGTACTTTGATGTTTATTAGGTATAGCATACTTTATTATAGGAATGACAACCATCTATTTACATATTTTAAACAAACTTTTATTATTATTACTATTATTGTTACTACTGATGTAAACAATTTCATGATAATTAAATGCTGCTTGAAGACTCTAGGGTTAATCTATATTAGTTAACTTTTTAATTTGTATGAGCCTTTTGCAGGTAATTTTTGGTACAAATATAACAGGTAATAAATACTGGTAATGCTGTACGCTGCTACATCGTTCAGCAGAGCAGCTGGTTTTTACAGCTGAGTTATTTACTAAAGGCAAATGGCTGTAGGAACCGTGACGTAGCTTTAACCATGACTGCTGGCCACGTGTATAAGAGGCTGATTTTCCCTCTTCTGTTGCAGGGTGACAGCGGAGGACCACTTGTGTGCGAGCAACCTGCAGGGCGCTGGACTTTGTTTGGTTTAACATCCTGGGGCTCTGTCTGCTTTTCCAAGGTTTTGGGACCTGGAGTTTACAGTAACGTGTCACATTTTATTGAGTGGATTGAAAGACAAATATACATCCACACCTTTCTGCTAAATTAACTCCAGATGGTAAGAATTGTGCTGACAGACAAAAGAAAAAAGGAATCAGCACTTCAACACTGAAGGTTTTGCAGTTCAGAAACTCTATAAAGTAGTTTCAAGCTCTATCTGTTCTTGTTGTGGAGCTATAGAACATGCAGTGTATGTTAATGATGAGCCCTCTGATGATGAGTATACTTTGGGGTAGAATTAATAATCCTTTGGACTTTTCATTTAACTGTGTTGTGGTGCTATTCCAAACACAGCAAAAGGCTTAAAAGGAAAGAATCAGCCACTTTCTGCCTTTCAGCTATTAAAACTAAGTAGCAGCACAGGCTAGGAAAACCTTTCTAAATAACCTATTTTAATACTATTCAATTAGTAGCACATGCATTTTCACTCACTTCTTGTCATGAGGAAGGAACTCTGTGCATTCAGATGGCACTGCAGGACATATATTCACAAGGACAACACTAGACATGGTTGCACCATATGTTGGAGGGTGTGGAAGAGATTGATGGGTTTGTACACCCATGTGGCACAGGACACATCAAAGCACATATGCAAGTCTCCAAGGGTGTGTAGCCACATGCTCCCAGTGTGCCTGAGCTAACGCATTCTGTCCCTCAGAGTGGCAAACTTGCATGGGCATAACTCTGTACTGTCCTGACTTCACAGTTTCTGTTCCCAGAGCCAGCTTGGGCATCTCAGAGGAGCGATGGAGGAACCAGTAGGCCAAAAGACCCGTAACTACCACTTGAGGCACCCAAGACCAAAACTTCATTGTTCACACTCTTTAGACAGTTTCTACCACTTAATTTTCTGCAGCTTCCAATATCCTAATGTGTCCAGGAAACATCCATGTCTTGGCAGCAGTACACTGATCAGTGCATTTATCAAACCTGTGCCCCACTGGCTTTTCTCTTCATGTGTGTTCAGCACACAAAGCGTGCAGGGACCTTCTCCAGCCCTCTAAAAACATGAGAAGGTTGCCTATGCCACTGCAATGATTTCCCCTTCTAAAGTCAGCTATTTGGACATCTGGTGAGAGATGGAATATGCAGATTTAAAATGGAAAAGATATAGTATGGGCACTGTCCATAATACTGGGAACTGGGTATTTTTTGATAGGTCTCTTCTAGTGCCTTGCATTTAAAGTTTAATTTTGACTAACAAGAGTAAAAATTTGGGGAAAGGTAAAAAGCAGAAAGAAACTTGAGTAATACGTGACTTGAGATTCCAGCTTCTGTTCAAATGAGTAATAAAAATATATGAAGCTAAGTACAACAGCTTTACCAGCAAAGGCTCAAAGAACCTAGCTCTTGTGCTTGGTAGCCAGACATGGAGTGATCTGTGCAGTAGTAAGAGACTAAGCCTTGACTCCAAGAGTCTGGTTGAAAAAGATTATAATGGAGCTTGGCACCTCTTCATGGTGCCAGAGGGACAGTGTGTCTTATCTACACCTGTGCTGTAGGTGATGTCCAGCACAGCTCTCAGCTTTTGGGAGGCCAGAGAAGAAGTCAGGAACCCGAGGATTACAGGATGAATGAGGAACAATGTGTTTAAAAATTGTGTTTTCAGTGCTGTGCATAGTCCCTCACAAATCCAGCCTAAGGCACATAATTACCCTTTCTGCTACCTCTGGCATGCCCCCATAACAACATGGCAGGGCCTTGTCAATACCATGACTGCCATATGTGGAAACATGCATTGAAAGGCGTAACACATGGACATTTCAGGTACTATTAATTGTGTTGCAACTCATCTACATAGATCTATTGCTTTAGTGAAGGTTTACCTCTTATCTCCATATCTTCTTTAGCATGACTAACATTAGAACATTAGTCATAATAGGCAGTGCTGTAGACATCAATATTAATACATATTCAAGAGTTATGTTATGGATTCTGAAACTAATTAAGTGATTATTGAATCACTGTTTCATGCTCAGAAAGAAAACCCTCTGAGGCTTTGCTAGGTTTTGGTTTAGTTGTTTGGTTTTTTTTATTTTTGGTATCTTAAGGATTTTTGGTTTTACTGTAACACTTTAGTATTCTTCTTCCCCCAGCTATAAATGAGAGAAAGCAGCTGTGACCATGTTTTTCCAGTGCAAGTAGATTACAGCTGAAGCAGGTTATTGATATCTTTGCCTCAAGGATATCGAGGGTGGAACTCTCAGTCCTCTCTTCAGCTTTCCTCTGGGGCCAGGATCTCTGCAGCTGTAGGGCAGCAAAGTTCAAAGTCCCGGAGCCGGTTACCAAGAGTTCCCTGAGAAGGCAGCCCATGGGATTGCCAGAGCCAGCCAGCCCTGCTGTCCCTCTGATACGCCTGGTGACGGGTTTCAGCCAGGTCTGTTTTCCAAAGAGGTGCTGTTGCAGAATGAGCAGCCCAGCCTGACTTCTCTCCACCAGATGAAGTGGTTATCAGCTTTGAATATTGTAAAGCACTGGAGTACATATAATCATTCATGTAGATATTAGCATTACTAAATGATAACATGTAGTTATACATTTTAATTAAGTGGGTTTGGCCTGCCACCAGTTTCCAAGCAGTCCCTCCCAGGAAATGAAGGAGAGTCCTGCTTAAACATATGGTCCAGACCCATCCTGTATGGGATCCCTATGAAGAAATTACAGGCTGAACCCCATCCCAAATAGCTTTAGGAGGGAGCAGTTGCGTCTTGTCCTTCTACACAACTGTCTGACACAACATTCCATGTAAAGAGGAAATTTGTAATTTTATAAAGGTATTTTTATACTGGTTTTTTTACGTGTGCACATGAAATAGGCAAAGAAGCTCTTCCTTCCACTGTAGCAAGCCTTTCCCCATGCGTTGATCATAATTACACTTTTTCTCTTATAGGTGTAGCCTCACTGTAAGGTAACATTTGTCAGTTTTGCTTCTACCACAGCTGTAGCTCCAAATGGAAGCAATGCCACACAGTCAAGCCGATGTGTTTCTTTCTAGTTGTACTAATAAAAATTTACAATCATTTTCCAAATAACTTCTCTGTGGAAAATGTGTTTTAAACTTTACAGAGACTAAATGATAATAAGGAGATGTGAAGTTATAACTTTAGCAATAATGTCTAAAAATAGCCTCCAAAAAGCGTTTTTGTACCCTTAGCTGGCATTTTTTTAGCAGCGCTGTCAGGCCCGTTAGCACTGCAACACTTGTGGAGATTCTGGCACTACTATCACTGTACAACTTTCACCTTCTTCTGCATGTATGCTTCCAATACAGAATATTACCAGGAACAGACTGAGAAATCCGAAAAACTAAATCTGCAATCTGAACACATTTTGTTCTATGGCTATTTCTCTGGAATACAATCAGTTTGAAATAACAATCTTCTTTTAACTTGTACACAGCCTTTCAACAACATGCAAACATGCTGAAATCAAAATAAAAAGCACACAGAAGCTTAAAACAGTTAAAATGTACATTTTCACTGCAGTAAGGCAGCCAGGACCATGAGGGCAAGAGTAACACAACCAGAATAAAACAAGAACAAATAATACAAAAACCACACTGAAATTCAGTTGTGAGAATGTTCTTAACACAGTCACATTCAGGACTTGCCCCTTAGCCTTCGCAGAGAGCCAGGGATGGTGGGAGCAGCAGGCACTCTGCCTTGCCTTCTCCTCAGCTTCGGGCTGCAGCCAGTGGGCCTGAGGAAAAAATATGGCTTGGTCTAAACATTCAGCTGAAATTGTGCCCCAGGTACGGACCAAACCAAAACACTCGCTCAGTAAAGGCTATGGCTGACTGCCCCCTGCAAATGTTTAGCACAGGCATGGCTGCAGTGAAAGAAAAATCAAATATTGCACATCACAAAGGCAGTTAAAGCTGCTCTAGGTGTAGCTGCAAAGTTTGGGGCAATTCAAGGTGGTTGTTTTGGTTTATTTTAAAACAATGAAAATGTAAATGTTCATGACATCTGGAAGGCACCTGTGAGATGATCTTAAAAAGCTTGTTTTCAAAATGGAAAAGTCAGGTCATGCTGTGCCTGAATGCAGAAGCAAGCAGGGGATCATGATGTTTTCAGTGCTGAAAAAAAATAATAAAGGGAACATTGAACTGTGAGAAGTATAGGGAGAGAGATTCATTTGCACCCTTCATTTGGCACCACTTTAGATATGGCCAATTAACATTTTGAAGCTTTTATTAAAGACTCACTGCCTTCATCTTCCCTTCAGGAAAAGACAGCAAGTGATCACAGCAAACAGCCCTCAGGTATTTCTGCTGCTTATCCATCACAAAAATACCAACCAACCAACCAATCAACCAACCCCACCCAAAAAACTACCAACCAACCAAAAAAAAACCCAACCCCCCAAAAAAGTGTTTTATGCAACGGATAACAGATAATTTTATCACCTAGACTGCTTGTCTAAGTCCTCTACTAGAACACAACCTACAGAGGACAATTTTAAGCAACACGCAGTATCAAATACATCAGTGATGCAAGACACAAAATAAAAAAAGTGTGTGTTATTTTGCACCATTTCAAGTGGTACATAAGCACAATCTCAGCAGAGAGAAACATTTAAAAGGATCTGAAGTTTCACAGTAACCCACAGAGCCTGGCACTTTTGAGACCCAAATGAAATCAGCTTTCATCCAATTTAAGATGTGTCCTGAAAGCTTCACTGCACTAAGTTGTGAGTAGTGGGATAACCATGCTTGTAAAGAGTCGCATAATAGCAATTTAAATGTCCTAGAGGCATCATGCAGCTGGTATCAGGGCTGACAGATGACTCCAACTTATTTTTCTTCATGTAGTTATTTTGATGCCATGGCTTACAGATCTTGGAAGATCTTACTCTGAATATTTACAGCTTTTGTATAAGACCCGTGTGAATTCCGGAATCCAAATGTGCTGGTAGGTTCTGCTCCTGCAGCAGAGGCAACAAGAGGGCAGGTCACAGGCCAGTGTTGTCCTCCAAACTCTTTTTCACAGGGACAGGAGGGGACAGAGCTGAGCCCTGCACTCCCTCAGATCACTGGTAAGTCTCAGAGTTCCTCCATAAAAGCTCAACATATCTCTGTCATAGAGTCACAGACGCGTAGAACATAAAAACACTCTGCCCTGTAGACACAAGTGCCATAGATTTAAGGTGCAGATGATTCACTCAGGTCAGACAACAGAAACAAAAACAATATTTGACTTCTAGGGCAGGAAAGCACTGGCCTGGCCTGTTTCTCTGGAGCTCTTTATAACAGGAGAACATCTGCTATGAATTGCAAGGGTAGAGCCGAGTTTGCCTTGGGGCTGTGCAGCAGAGTAGATGATTTCACTGCATCCCAGTAAGTCTCTTCCTGTACGATTCTGCCCTTGTACCAGCTCATCTCCCTGCACAACCTGCTGGCTGTTTTGCATTTTCTTTTTGGACACCTTGCAGGTCCCATGGCTTGTAGAGAAAGCAGAGATGTTTTACTTGAACAACTGGAGGCCAATCCTGGCAAGGTGCCCCCACAGCAAGAAGGATGTTACAGAGAAACATCTGAAAATGTAACTGCAAACTAACATGCTCGACATGATCTCTTAGAATTTGAATGTCTGCCATCACTTCAAAGGTCCCCACTAACTTGATGTTAGAACTTAACAAAACATTTTGTCTTATGTTCAACCAGATTAAAAAAAAATAATTCAGAAATAGCTGTCATCACTGGCTCCTTCCTCTTTTTTATTTCTACAGAACTAAAAACAAAAAAGGTTATTTTTCTCTTTTTCTCCTCACTAACACTAGGGATGAAGTCAGCCCTAATTACATTCTACCTTTTGAAAACAGAACCGTTTTAAACTTTTGGTAACATGTGGTGACCGGCATTTGAATGAACTTAGCATGCCCTCAGTATCTGCCCTGCATAGCAGCAGCTGTCTCAGACCTCACAGCATTTGTTTAAATTCTTGCAGAGATCTTAAAAGACGTGGAATATGTAATGTTGATCATTGATGTGTAAAGCTCACGGTTCAATTAAAAAGCAGAGCCCTTGCCCCAAACATAGTGCCTAAAAATAAACACAAATCTTGGCAATTGGAAAGCAGAAACTTTCAGAAAGTAACAGAACCAAAAAATGGGCTCAATACTAATAATTCATTAGCAGCTATAGTTTGAGGAAATTTTTTATTTCAACAGCTGTTAGCAGATACAAACAATTTTCCTAAGTTCCTCCATAAATCTGCCATGTAACTTGCAAAGGGAAGTAAATGGACGGAAATAAAATGGTAGTCCTATTTTATTCTGGAATCCAGAAGTAGCCATGTGCACCTCAACCACCTTTGTTCAGTGTGCTGAGCAGTGGGAAAATGACAGAGGCAGGACTCATCCACCTCCAAGATAGATGAGCAACAGCACTCAGATGTGGGATATGCAGTGGGCTATACCTTCTTCTGGGCAGCCTTTAGAGACACTTCAGCTGATTATTATAAAAGTCTGGAGGAATGTAAAAACATCTGAGAGTAAAGAAGAGTGATCTCATCAGCTGGAAGCTGCTATTTTTAAGAGAAAACCTGAAGACAGACTGGAGTTACTCACTGCCAGACAATTCTGCAGTGCAGGCAGGAGAAAAGTCAAGCAGTCAACATCTGAATTGGGTGAGGAGGAAAAGAAGTCCAGTCAGTGGCGAATAACGTGGAATGGTACATGGAGTCAAAATGGAGGGATGCAGTAGGAGGATGAACTAACACAGAGAACAAAAGACTGCACTAGGATTTGCTCTTTTTGTGAAGAGAAAGGTGAGGGACACACATGACACGTGTCTCTTCTGGGCTGCTCTCCTGATGGTTAAAAAGGTGTTTGGCCAGCACTGAGATGGCCCATGCAATAGCCTGGTGAACAAACTGGACCATAATGGTTATAGAAATTACTGTGTACACACACTGCAACAAGTAACTACAAGTCTTGAAACAAGCAAACCAGTAACATTACATCCCAGCCCTTCTGCTTACTTCATACTTCAGCAAATGGTGAATCTCAGGGAATGCTAGGATTCTAGGGTAGCACTGCAAGGGAGCAGGATTACTTACCTGAACTGGATCCTGCAAATCTGCATCCATGCAATACCATGAGGTATTATGCAATGT